TTTCTGAGTCCTGACTGTGCAGAGAACTTAAGCCAGTGTCTGAGTCATCGTCGTTCACACTGTGAGCTTTGGACAGACCCCTGGCCTGCTCCACCCACTCGCTTTTCCTCTCCAAAATGCTCGTCATCCCCATCTTATCATCTGTCCCGTGGCTACATCTCTCCTCACTGACTGTCCCTTCCTCTATATCCAAAGTGTTCACTTTCTCCAGCAAATCCCTCATCTCCTTCTCCCTCGCTCCGCAAATCTCCTGGGTCAGCTCTAAATCGCTCCTAATAGCTTCTAAATCCGTGTTGAGGCGCAGACCGACGTATAAACTCGCCTCTAGCTGAGTTCTGATCCTCTCTTCTTCCAAAAACATTTCGTTTTCTGACGCTGTGTCTGCCTCAGGAATGGGCGGGGATGGTGCGCCCTCGCCGGTCTCTGTGTCTTTCCTCCGCTGCATCCAGCGGTGGTTCAGCTCCTCCTGCACCTGCAGCGTGAACATGTCTATAAGGGCTTCCTGCTCCCACAGCTCCTCTTGTAGTCGAACCACCTCCTCACACTGCCGGACATACTCTTCAAAGTTGGCAAGAGTTTCAGCTGAACACACTTTGTCTCCATCTCGGCTGGAAGCCGCCGCAGCATCCACTAAATAGGTGTCCTGCACGTAATTAACCCCGTGTCTCTTAATTCTGTCAAAATGCACCTTTGCCTCGCACATTTCGATGTCTGCGTCCAGCTCTGTAATCCTCTGGACCTGCTGGCGGATTGTATGATCCTGAGAAATGACAAGATGGACCAAAGTTTCCATCTTTTCTGCAGATGACGCATCTCTCTGCGCCCTCTTTGTATTGATTTTCTCCAACTTTCTGAAAGCTTTCCTGACGACCCGACGCTGTTTCTCGGGTGGGACGCCACCCGTGGGAGACCGTGCGTTCCCCTTGGTAACACAGGGGCTGTGTCTGCTGAGCACCACACGCGCCTCTGCGCTCCGGGCTCCGTGGTTCGCCAAAGACGCCTCGCTTTTCACCAACACAAACTTCACATTCCTCTGCTCCTCTCCCCACGCGACCCAAAGCCGCAAAATCTTTGTCTTTTTCGGTAAAATCCTCTCGAAACCTCTCCATTTCTCCACGATACAGTAGGACTGTGGGCGTGCAGCTGTGGAGAGGCCGTGCTGTGAGTTCTGCTCCTCCAGAAGCACTTTGACAACATCAGCGCAGGTTGTGCGCTTTGACAAGCCGAAGACAAGCTTCTCCTCTCGGCAGACCCACACCGATATCTTACTCTTCTCCACCTCCATCACGAATGTCTGCTAACCCGTATTTCTTATAAATAGAAATAAGAAAAAAGTCGTTTTTAAAAATCGACTTAAATCCGCATTTCTGGAGAAAAGCGTAGCCGTGTCATATCCTCAGTGTGCATGCGCGCTGCGTCCCGGACGCGAGATATTGCTGATGGAGCTGAAGGTTTGAGGGTCCCATGTGTCCTTCTGTGCACTTTCCTGAGGCCAAATCAAGGCCTGCCCTCACGAGACTGCCTCTGCTGTGATCACATGACTGCCACCAGCAAGCGTCAGCAACCAGTTATTATTTTCTGTGGCATGTTGGAGATTTTTGATGGTTGTATTCAATACTCTTGAAGGGGTTAATAGGTTAATAAATGATCCCCGCACCGTTTAACTCCAGATATAAGTGTTTAAAACATCATGAACATAGTTATGATCAAAAATGCTTAATTTGGATTCATGTATTCAAATTTAACTGAATGAACACAACACATATTTAAAATTCATAAATTAAACAACATAACAATTTAAGAACATAAAAAAGTAGCCTATAAAGGTGAGTATTCAGTGTCAGTGGGAAATAATTTATATTAAAATATAGAAAAGTATATTTTTTTTAACTGAATGACATTTTCTAAAATTAATTTATGGCGTTTTAGCTTTGGTTTGGTCTGCCGACTCCCGAGGGAAACATCTGGTTTAACTTTCTTCGACTGCTTGTGTATATTTGCAAACAGCAAATGTACAGACTGTACAGAGCTGTCAACCCGCTAGCCTAAATATAATCATAATACACTTTATACAGCGCCGTTTTAAAACAAAAAGCTAGGCTAAAGTAAAATGAATCAGCACCACAGCTAGGCCAGCAAATTAGCAAAGGGAAGAGAATGAATAAAAAAAGAAAAACAGTCAAATTAACAAATTAAAACACATAACACTTAGTGGAAATGGAAAAATAAAAGATGCAGACCTAACTTTATTAAAATTATTTAAATAAATTATGGTAACACATTGACAACGTGCACTGTGTTTGTGTGACAGACTGATTTGTAACTCCAGGCCTCACTATAATTTTCCTTACTGAGTTGACATTGACTGACTTTATATGCAGACATGTCACCTTTAAAAGAAACTCCTTCTGAAAGCTGCACAGAGAAATGAAATGTGATGGTGTTAACGTAAAAAAATAATGTTTAAAGGGGCTCTAAGATTTACGTTTCTTTAGGAAACTTTATTTGTATTTGACCCTTGAATTTGGACCGCATGATGCCGCCGCAGGTTGTGATTCTGTACATTGTAAAGTATCAATGGTGCGACATTATTTCAAACAATGAATAACCGTCATATGAATACAGACAGAAGAAGAAAAGCAAATCAGTTTATTGCAGAGCAGACACTTCCTGCTGTCGCCAAGGCTGTGTGGCAGAAACACAAAGAAACGTACTGTACAATTGAACACATTGAGAGATCTGAGTGGATCAGAGGTGACCTTCTCCTGGATTACACTTTTGTGTTCGATGATTTGAATATTCAGGGTTAGTTTGCTTTTGTTGATTTGAGTGAGAGGGGACAGATATTTGATTGTGTAAATGACACCTTTAGATTGTGGTGAGGATACCCGGGGGTCAGAAACGCCAAGAAACAACGGCTGAGTAACTGAATGTTGTATAAGTGTCAGCTAAGAGTGTGCTGCTTCGCCTGGTCCGTCCTTGATATTTTGTGATAATGTGCTTAAAAGGAAAGTGATGTCTATTTAAAATTCTATAATGTTGAGCCTGTTAGCTTTTAGTTCATTATCTTTTCTGTCTTATTGACCCTTTCAGATTTCGGCCTTGGTGAGTCCTGAATGCATGAGCTTATATTTCAAAGCACATTGCTGCTCACCTTTGTCTTCAAGAAAGACCTGATATCCTGAGTTTTTTTGGGGTTGTCAAGGCTGCTGCTTGTGTCCCCACAGGAGGCTTGTTTGAGGCGTATAAAGACCATGTACTATAAACTTCTTGTGTAAGAGGTGTGCCAGCTTTTGCTCCTGCAACTTGTGATGTTACAATATACGATTGGTTTTATGCTTAAGGCTTAAGATGATTACCGTGTGTGTGTGAAAGAGAAAGTCAGCAGTGGTTGTTATACTCTGCAGTCTTTTTGGACCAGAGCAAAAGAAACTAATTTGAAACCTGAAAGCACTCAATCCTCTAAATTTGTCATATCTCATTAAAATGAAGTGTCTTCAATCTTTACCTGGATTTGAATGGTTGTTAATATTCAGCAACTAACAACAGGAAGATAGATTGAAAAAATTATCCAAACAAAAAAAACGTAGCCCAGTGTTGCCAACTCTTTACAAATGGAACTAGCTTTCCGAAGCCGCCAGATGGTTTGTTACACTGATTCTCGCGTGATCGCATGACGGCGCGAGAACATAGCTGCTGTGCAAGGTAAGCTGGCAACGCTATAGCTCCAAATCAAACAAATGTCACTAAATCTAGTGAGAAAGTCACTGAGTCGGCCACACTGACAGCTCGTCCCTCACCGAAACTGTCACAAGAACGTAAACCACAAACACGGCTACTACTGACAGGCAGGTAGAGGAGCAGGTGTCCGTCCAATCAGTTCAGGCTAAGCAGGAGCCCAGATACCAATTCATTGATTTCTATCTATAAATAGAATTTCAACAAATATACCAAAATTCTTTTGAAAAGGATTAACCACCCTATCATTAGAAGGTATCGTATTGGTGTAGTGCAACCTTAAAGTAAAATGCCATAACAATGCGTCGGCTCACTCCGAACACACATATGTGCACATGAAAGACGGCCTTGAACTACATAATCCAGAATAAATCATTTTGCTTGTATAATTGCAATTCAGGAGTTATTAGTGTAAAGTGATTTATACAGGACCACATACTGGTGCTATAGACTCCACAAACTATTCTGTTTTCTCCTGGTTCTTGGGCACCTCTTTTTATTGAAATCTGTCAAGTATTTCATCAGATATCCTACAGAAAAAAACGTTCTGTTTTGAGTCCTTTCACATGCCTCTAGAATTGCTAACGTGAACTCCCATTTGGGCAGAGCCTTTATTGCCTCTTAAGCTTTACTTCAAACCCACAGGAACAAGCTGCTATAATTCCAAAATTATCTGACAGTTTGCTTTTTAACAATAATGTTTGTAAACACAGCAGGAAAACAGACAAATATTTTAGTTGACAAACACAATATCTTATGATACTTGTCATTCAAAAGGGTCTCAATCGTTATTGGTTGAGCCTTTTAGTATTTGATCTCTTCACTATTTCTGCTTTCAGTATATTTAGATGACAGCATCAAAGGTTTTCCTTCCAATGTTTTATGCGACTGCACTTTAAGTACACAATAGATAATATTAACTGGTGCCTCAACTAATGGATCAACTCAAAATTAAATTGTGCATTTTTTAAAATTAAACAATGTCTCCATCTGGTGAGGGTTTCTGTTACTACAGTGGTTTACATTAAAATATTATATACATTAGTTGTTTTACACGCAAAACAGGAACACAGACAGTTAAACACAAAGCAAGTGACAGGCTCCATCTACTGTTGATCGGAGGTTTCTGCAATTAAAGAGTTAAATGCGGCCTCAGTCCAAACAGGATCATGTAATACTGCTTTCTCAGTAAATACTCAACCCCTGCTGATTGCTTCAGGACCATAAATGTTGAACTGAAGTGACAAAAAAAAAGCAGGCAATCTATTTTCAGATTTATTTAACTTCAATATTGTATACATACAAAGTATCTAGAAAGCTACAAAAAACTATTATCAAGAAGGCATCGAAATGTTACGGAGCAAAGACAAGACCAAATGCAGAACACGGAAACATAGCAGAGCGTCTCTTCTCTCCTTTGCTCCAACACTTTACCGTCATGGATACGAAAAGATATCACACATCTGTACCAAGAAAAGCTAAGATATATCGTTTTGTACAAAGCACCTTTTTACAAAAAAAAAACAATTCTGCACACAAAACCCAAATGTGTGTATGACAACTATATGTGAGCTATGTGAAGAATCACGTTAAAGCCACCATCTGAAAATGGTCATAAAACAAAAAGGTACCAGTACCTACTCTTTCGACAGAATTACAAATAACAAGAGCTAAACTGCTGATATGTTTATATCATGATTCCTCGACTTGGCTGATTTTATTTTATTTTTTTCATGTGTCCATTTTCTCTCTTCAAATGGTCCACCAAGACATTCATGCCATCGAAGGCATCAGTCCTGCTGTTTGAGTGTTGAAACGACATGTCAAAATGTACCAGCAGCGCAGCAGCAACATCATTATATCATCTTATTGGGCTTGCAATATACAGACGATGTCATCACAAAACCAAGTACAACTGTATACAAGTACAATAATAAAACATCTCACTAAGTAATCAATAAATGTGAACAGATACACACAGCGTAAACAAAATACTGAATGATTGATTGAACTTTATCTGCATCCACCAGAGACATTGTCTGCAATTATTTAGAGCTTCTGCCATTAAAATACTTTGTAATTGTATGAGTAGCTATGGTCCTTATGGTGAAAAGCATTAACCTCAACGGCCTCGTCCACACTAGCACCCGTGAAAAATGAGTTTCTGAAACAGCATCTCAAACAGGTTTTGGAAACAATTACTTCAACCACATTAAAAGTTATACAATTTTGTAGTGTATGATCATTAAATAAACGGTCCCTTTTCGTTCTGAAAGATAAATTATAAAAGCTTGTGTCGGCCCCTCGAGGACGTCACAGCTGTGTCTGCTGCATCATCGAAGGTAACATCGTGATGTTTTCGCATCGTGCCAGCGCGTGGATGCAGGAGAGAGGAAACCATAATGTTTCCAAAAACCTTTTTATTTTTATTTTTTAAAACACTTGAACCTGCAAGTGTGCACGGAGCAAACAGCTGCGGTGTCCGTACGAGTTGACATCCTGCATGCAGTCAGCGGCTGTACGTTATCAGCAGGTCTTCCAGTCTTTGACCACAAGCAAAGAAATGGGTTTTCGTCAAATACATAATTTGCAAAATCAATGAAAGTGAATATATAATTCATCTATTTTTGTTTATACCAGTAACCAGCTTTCCTCCTGCTTTCATAATAATCCTTTAAAAAGGCAATGTGGTGATTGGTTTCACGTATGTCTCATTTTTGGTCTAGCAACATTGAATTTGTAATTTCTGTTTGATCTTTTTCGAAGCTGGACATTTTATACCAAAGGCACTTCCTTGCTACCATGCAGAACAGGACAAAAGATTGACTGTATCTCTGTATTTTTGGTCTTTTTTACGACAGGAAAGGCAGTCAGTCTGTGTTTATAGTACACTCTTAGAAAAAAGGCTGATATATTAGGAACATTTACAGCATTAGAGGAAAATATAACCGTGTTATCATTTTTCTGAGCTTTCATTTGCACACTTCAACAGAAGAGCACTGCCTTTTAATAACGTCAACAGAAACTGTATTTCTAGGAGTGTACCAATTGTAAGAAACATCATTTCTCAGATGTGAAGATGTACCAAGTAACATAGCAGTGAGTTAAGTTTGACTGTTTGTCCACAAAACTGATTTTAGACTTAAAACAAAGCAAAGGGTAATGTTAGAGTGTATTCTAAGGCACTGTACATCTACACTTTGGCAGATGGGATTGTGAATTTCTTACACAATGCGAACATAAAAAGAGTCTTCCTGCGTAGAGATCACAGTTTAAGGGGCATCTTTTGGAGTTCTCACAGCTATAACATGTTTAAGGCTCGGGATCGGCGTAGGCCACAGAAACATGTGAACATAGTGTGAACGTGAAGGCAGCACCACTCTGCTTTGGGAGTTTTCACACCAGCATCCCAGAGTGGAATGGTATTCTGAGCCTTTCAGGGGGCAAAGCCACAGCGTACTGAACAAGGCCTTCTGTCTACATGTGATTTAGAGTGTGCTGATTATTTAAAACCACAGCTGTAACAGAAAAAAGTAAGCATCACTAAGGCAAGTCTGGGCGGGAGAACAAAGTGCTTTTGGACAAGATGAGAGTCTGTTTTGAGTAATTTCCGCAGTACTTTCACCCGTCTGAAATCTAAAATTCTCCCATCAGTTGTCACAAAGACAAGACTTGTTTGCAGCACAGAAATGCTTAGCAGGTCGTAGGACTTCCTACATTTAGGAAGCAGATGCAGGCAAACTGTTGTTAGTATTTTCACAGTGCAATAATTCTGTTGTTAGTGTCTAAGACTTGGAGTGCTTCAACAGGGATAAATATACTACTGAAAGCAGAGTTGTCTTTAAAGAAATAGCAGTAATTCTGCAATATTCAAAACCACTTGCGTCAACTGTCCATGTAGTGTTTTGTTAGGTTAGTTTCTTTGGAAAATCTATTGGCTGTGGGTGCATGTCTGTATATCTACAGTATGTACGCTCACAAATTATGGACTACAGACGCACGAAACACACTCAAACATATTACACAGACCACATCAGGCCGCTGAAAGTCCTTTTTTTCTCAATCTACATAACAAAGCAGAAGAAGACGACACACATATTTCCATTTACCAAATGAATCTAGTAAATTCCTTAAAAACGGCCACATTTATACCCAACAGAGACCAACTCAACATATTTGAAACAAGAATTCTCGTATTTAAACATAAAACAACTGTACCGCAATTCACAGCTGCAGTCAAATAACAAACACTTTATATTAAAACAAATTTAGAACAACTGACTTCACCTGATACCATGACCAAAAAGCATTGTAGGTGTGACTTTCAGGTAGAGGCACTGCCACTTGTCTTGAGGTTGGTAAGTCCATGAAAACAGGGGGGGGGGGGCTCGGAGCCTCTCATTCTTTTACCAGTCTGTAGATATGATGCTGGGCGCCGTGCTCACTGTTTGAAACCTCAAACACACACGCCATACACAGCAGCGTCTCCTGGGTGTCCCTATTCGTCACCACCTGCAAGAAACCAGACGGTCACTTTCTAGTGTTGAAGTGAAAGTATTCAAGGAGTCGCCATATTTTTTGAACAAAAAACACAAAAAACACAGGTAAAGAATCCAAAGCTCAGGGTTGAAGAAACAAATGCTGTTTAAACCCTGTAAACGTCACACTTTTATGTGTTTCCGAAATAACCCTACGAGTTTCATAATGCAAACTCTCTTTGGTGTTGAAGATAATACTGAATGCACTTTCGAGTAACTTGACATATTTAACTGTCTATAATAAGTCCATTCTGTATATTCAAAAATACAGAGATCACAAAGAATAAATGTGGAAAATGATACAATAGAAATGTTTTATACGTAGAATCCTTCAGTATGAAAATGAATGTGCAGTCAGCAGTCTACAGTTTTCAGTTACTGGGTGGAAGTTAAAGGGTAAAACAAGGCTCATACTTGTATTTTGGGTATCTACAACAACATGTCAACATGCTTTAATATTTAAGAAACGCATTATTGTTCTCATACAGTTTGTATGACTGTACCTGCATTCCCCCTCCATCAGAAGCACTATGTTTAGCACGTATCTCCCCAACCCCCCTCTGATGTAGAAACACCATTACTTCACGGATATGTGTCAGTTTCAGATTCTCCTGAATATTTTAGAGCTTTTAAAGACACAGTCTAAAATCAGATAGGAAGTGCCCATTAATCTACTGTGATTATTTCCAACATGATGCCTTGGAGAAACACCTCTTAAGGCTAGGATGAATATAAATCTTACAAACCTTTTTAAGGGGCTTTTGGGCCTTGGTTGCGCCCCATGTAAAGATCTATGCCTATCTTTTTATTTGTTTTTTGCTCTCTCTGGAGTGCTGAATGACACTTTAAGACCCCATGTGATGGCTAATAATGGGGGTTTCTCTCCCCATCTTATCCTCCCTTTTCCCCTGCAGATAATGAGGCTCCTCACACTGAGTTTCATCCCCTGTGGAATGAGAACAATGCAAGAACAACGAGAGGAACTCATCTCAAGGCCCAGTCAAACCCCCCGGCCCACCAACACACCCCGACAGCAGAGAGAGGAAGAAGAATGAGAGTCCTGGAGAGGGATCTCGCCCACTCAGGTCAGTGTGATGATTACCAATAAGATAGTGAAGTTCTCCAGCACGCTGTTCATCATATATTTCTCTGGCAGATGTTTTAGTTTATGGATGAAGTTGATCATGTATTCACACATGGGAGACCGGCTTATCCGGTAGACAAAGCGTCCATTCTCAAACCGCGCATATTCAGTCTGAGGAAAATGAGAAAAAATGAATTAATTAAAATGGTATGATGCCTAAAAATATAATGGTATAGTGTAGATAGTTATTCACATCTTTTAGTCATTGTTCTGATTCCCGGGATGAAAAGACTTGAGTTCATACCTCAACTTTCTCAACCACCTGCTTGCCAAAAGAGCAGACCTTTGTTGAGCACGTAATGGTCATGTTCTCCGAGCTTTCGTACTGACTCGTGACTCCGTAGAAAGATCCAGTATCATTTTGAATGTTGCAGTTCAAGTCCGCCTGGGAGAAATAGGAACACAAAAATGAGCAGTCTGTGGCAATTAATATTTGTATTTAGGTGTTCGATTTACAGGAACAAACAATACACAAAACCACGGTACAAAGAGGGAAATACGTTGTATTCAAACGGTGAAATAAAATACTAGAAGTGACAATGGTGACAAGGTGTACCGGAGAAAAGTGATGAACTAAATGAATTGAGTAATTATGTTTTGGTACAGCAACCTCTGTGAGGTTTTTCATATAACAAGTAACAACACGCCTGTGAGTATATTAATTATTTAGAAGGTAACAACCAATTTAAAACAATGAATTATCAAGGATCACAGTGAATACATATCTGTAATGCCCATTCATGTGGACTTTTAAAAGGATAATATGCAGCCAGTTTTTAAAACATAAATAAACAAACTTGATATGAAAACCATTGGACAGATTTTTTTTATTTTTTTAAAGCTCTACAACCAAAGTCCATCAGCGGGACATTTTACAGTTTAAAAATGAACTCAGCGCTCTCTGGTGGACAAACTATGTAATAGAGACTCTGTTTCTATACGACCTCAAACCTAGTTTCGTATTTTGGTTCTGCACCTTCTCGTTATAGGCTGCCATATACACCAACACCACAATGTCTGCAAAAAAACAAATATCAGCAGATAAATAAGTGGTCCATTTTTTACTACATACTAATTGTGAGCAGGTTTTGATCATGTAGTTTGTTCACACTGGAAAAGTGACAAAATGAAGTAAATTCAGAGTCCTCTAAACCCCCGCTTTTTTAAATGTGCCATTGATGCGCATTACTTTCCAACAATGCAAAGCACAAAGATAATAGAGGAGCTGCTCACAGCTGAAAACAAAACAGCTGATGATGGTTCAACAGCTCAAGGAACACCCCAGAAAACAAAAACAGATCTTTAGTTTTTGAAGAAGAGAAATGCTCTCTTTGTTGAACCTGCAACACAATATTTCTTATCTTTTACCACTTGAGAGCAGCAAAAACAAGTTGTGAAAACAACATTGACATATCACCTTTGAAGTTGATATGGCTTATTTACACATCGGTCATTTACGGAGCAAATGTACATTCATATTTTGCTCTGTTTTTGGTCTGTTCCAACTCGTGATTTCTTAAAAAACGAACTACAAAGACAACACACTATGAAGACTGGCATAAATGACATATATACTGTACACAGGATGGAATTGAAATATCTGTACTTGGCCTTTTAGAGGAAGAATTTGGTTTAAATGTGGAATCTAAAAATGTTAATTTTCTTTGTCGTTGTCTCATCAAGAGCGGTCGAGATTAAACATGTACATCTGTACATATCAAATTAAAAGATCTCGGCCACATCTGAAGAAGCATGTAAATGTGTCCATATTGGAAACGAGATTCTAAAGAGGATTAAATGAAGTTACGTTCAAAGACTGATTAACAAGGTCGAACTGGTCTACTCCCGGAGTGCAGCCTTTCTATGCCCCGAACATCCTGTTCATTATGGATTCAAAAAGAGGAGACATCCTCCTACAACATTCTCCTCCTTCATTAAGCAAAGCAGTTATACATTCATTATTGTGCAGATTCTGTCGTTCATTTGAAATTTAGATTGGTCGGTCACTTCAAAAGGAATTTGAGGGGACTTGGTCCAAGTGCATACGGTCCTACTTTGTTGGCTGCCGCTAGTTAGCATTTTGCATCAGGGAGGAAATACATGCAATGTTTAAAACAGCCATTAGGAGTGCAACCAGGTCACTCCATTGTTTGGAGATATTACACTGAATTAGTGACTGCTTTGATCAAAAGCTCTCCTGCTATGCAAGTCCAAATATAGCCGAGTGCATTCTGCAAACATTAAGAGAGCAATCTCCTCTGTGTAGACTGATTACACCCAATCACTAAAGACGAACCTGAGCAGAATGTTCCTGATTCTCCCATCAAACATCTCACAATGATATTCATACTGATGTGCGTAAAAATCACAATCCAGCTGTAACACTGCCATTTTATATACGACATTTATCAATCCTGTGGCTGTAACACTCACCCAGAATTTTATAAGGAAGAAGGAATTCTGGGGACCTTTTCCATAGAGCTCCTTCAGTCCTCCTTTCTTTTCTGGGAACTTGTCATAAATCTGACGAATGTCCACAGACTCCAGCAGGGCGTCACTGTAGGAATGATTTGTCTGTCCGATATGTACAAATAGGTGCTTGTTGTACTGAAAGAATAGATGAATAGGGTTAGAAACACACTTTAAAATACGGTGCTCTATTTCATGTTATATCAAAAATGATCTATGCATCAATATCAAGAGAGTCATCAACACAGAAAGGTTTGCTGAAAGAAAATGAGCCGATTCTGACAAACGAACCACCGTAATAAACGAGGTGGCTCGAATCAGATTGGTAACAATAAAACCTCATGATGATAACCTCTGCAACACTGCTTTCTATCTGGCTGTCTGCATGGTTTTATGATGTACAAATTAGGAAACATCATTCTGCTCCACTAAAGCCCAAAACAAACTGATCCCCTAATATGTATTATCACCCAAAACAGGAATGCCAGACTGCTTCACCCAAATTCTATAAGCATATAAGTTGAGACTTCTTTTATAAGCAAGAAAGCCATGAAATCACAAAGCTCATTATTCAGTCTTCATTTACATGAAAAGCAACATTTATGCATCGAAGGCAACCACAATCAACCTAAATTGACAATATGGAATGAAATATGAGCGCTTTATCTTTGAAAGAATATGTTTCCTCTATTTCATCAACTTTTCCACGCAGAATATTTGGATTTGGTTTAACAAAGAGAATAAATGTTGTGGTCTGGTAACCCAAGAAACCCATGGTGCATAGCAGAAAGCAGAAAGAGAAGCAAATCAGAGAATAACATTTGATCTTCAGAGGTTCTTTGGCCTTGTCGTGACCGCATGAAACGCTGTGGTACTGCACTTCAGTTTAAAAGCTCGCAGAGCAGCCTCTCCAGCATGTAGCCTTTAAGGGCAAATGCAACAATTTCAGCATCGAGCCAAATGTAAGATTAATGGCTGTTGTCATGCCGTAGTAATAACAAAAGGAAGTGCTCGGGAAAATGTGGACAAACATTAACAAATTGCTAAAGCAAACAAGAAATGTGAGACTTGAATTTGTCAACTCACACTCTGTGAGTCTGTGGATCGTCTGGCTGAGCTGACGTCTGCCGCGTAAATACAGTTTTGGCATGCCTTTTAAGGTACTGATTAATATACAGTCCTTCATTATTTCTGCAGGTTTTCATGCTGTGTGTCCCTACAGGCCAGGCTTCTCCCCTCTCAGCTTGTTTTGGCCTCCTCTCAGCTGACTTTCCGCCTGGGAAAAGGTCCCAGTGTATTCATAGAGGAAAGGACTGGATGATAAGAGGTGGGAATGAACACCAAGAGATAGTGATATTGCATGCTTTAGTTTAACGCTCCACTCACTGTGTCTGGGTCTCTCTGTTGCTCTAGGAAGGCGGAGAACTCCACCAGTCGGAGTTTAGATGTACCGATGGAGCGGCCCTGCCATGCTGGTGCCGTTGGAGCTGGAGCTGCTATGGACTCGTAACCTACAGTAACGCCACAATAACACAACATTTGTCCTGTCTGTGGGGTGTTTTACAGTACAGCCAGATTAAGTTAAGACAACAAAGAAAACTTATTTCATATTAGAGATATCGTCTGATTGGTCAGGTTTGTCCTGATGTTGTTTCTAGCTACTGTCCTCTTCACTTAAATCAAAAATGCCCAACAATTCACAAACTGTACAACCAAGAAATACAAGAAATAAGTAACACAGCCAAAAGATAAAAAAATTAAGTGAAATGAATCCTTACTGTATCTTTGAATGCTTATTTTTCAACTTCTACACAGGTTTAAGTATTTACAATCAATCCTAATTCACAAAAAAACTTTACATGGGTAAGAATAAATCAGTGGTTTCTGAATGAGGTTAAATGTGTTGAATGACAGGATTAAAAAAAATACATTATGTGCATAACAAATGTAAAATTAAATTTAAATTAAACTTTAGCTACTGACGAACCTTAAAGGCAGAATGAGTGCAATTTTCCTACAAAACTATGTAAAGACTCATACATAAATAATCCCTCTCAATAATCGGTGTCTGTATCTGCAGAGACACAGTCCCTTGCCTGTATTTTCTTATTTTGCTGTGTTTGGGACATTTCTGGGCATCAACCTCTATAAAACAGGCTTTTATTGTTGTTGCCATCTCCCAAGCATTTTAATCTCTCTCTATCAACACATTCGTTTTTCAGCTAGACAATCTGCCAAGTTTCCCCAGTAAATCTAAAGGAACAGATTCAACAGGTAAGAATATTTTAAATGCTTTTTACCGAGCAGGGAAATGCTCATGTGGATAAGTCTGAACACAGTAAATAGTTAGCACATTGTACTACGTCATGCATGTTATTGGATCTTTGTCCAATAACCAAAGGGTGAGGTTGCATTTCCAATATTTCAAATTCAGCAATTATACAACATGATGTACGTTTTGGGTCATATTTTTCCTTAATAGTTTTCTAATCAGGTAACTTCTTACTTGAAATGGCTGTTGTGACTGGCTGGATGGGATAGGCTTGCTGGGTGAAAGGCTTAATGCTGGAATAGAGAATGACAGACCCATAAAAATACTATATTTGATCCATTGCTTTAAGAGTTTTTTTTGTGAATTCAAGTTCTCTTTTTATGAAGTTTGATACTTACTCTTGTGAGGATCCTGGCTGACCGGCCGATAACATACCCTGCCATAACTGGAGAATTACATATATTAATAGAAAACAAACAACAGAGAACGTACAATTGCGATCAAAATGTATCACAGCTCCATGTTCAGTGGATGTAGTTATCTTGACTAACACTCCGTTTGATATTGTGCTTATCTGATAGTAGCAGTTATGCAAAGCTGGGGTGTGTAATGTGATTTGGCGCGGGAGTCGGCGTGGTTGGCCCCATGGCTGCCCTGGGTGAAGCTGGACAGGATGGATCAATAGAGGGGTGCCGACAAGGCTCTTACCCCTGCTCCAGGAAAGGCTGGGCGTGGGATGCCTGGCAGGCCCAGCTTGTTGTGAATAGCCGTGGCAGAAACAATCTGAGCCGAGGACATGGAGGCCATGCTCTGGAGGGCTTTGTCCTTCACGGCTTGGTCCTTTAACAGCAGTCACAAAAGGCTTACCACTCACACAGAAGGGGAAGGTGGGGCATTTTGCAGAGGGAGCAACAAACAAGACTCCAAACAACACACTAAAAGCATCACAGACCTCTCTCACAACAGTAAACTGCAAGCAGGTTAAATGAAGGTGCATGTGCATCGCTATTCACATACTATAAGTGTTTTTACAGGAATGTGCTGAACAAGAACAATTCAATTCCAATATACAGTGCAGTAGCTGTGGTATGCACTTACACAAAAGTTTTGTTGTTGACTAATCGACCATTAAAATACTTTCAAAAACTCATTCAGCAGCATTTCTATCAAGGCTGCGTTTGTCTGCAAGTCAAAACACATCTAGAAATTGTCAAGAATGTCTCAAGTAAAACTGAAGATTACCAGTCCTACTTGGTGAATAAACGTTCACTTCTCTCGTTAGTTCCTTATTCTTTAATCTTTGGACAAGTGTTTTTTTAAATGATCAGGAAATATCTAATTGTAAATGGTAAATGGTCACGCTTCATCATAACAAAGAGCCACAAAAGCTTGCAGAAGTGCACTGCACATTGCACGTTGTTCTGGACATGGCCCTTTGTTAATGAGCATTTACAAAGTTGTATACGGTCATACTGAACCTGCTAAATTCAGGTAGTGCAGCAGAGTGCACACCTGGGCAACACATACGCACTAGCAAACCCATGCAGACTCACTGGTGGCAGAAGCTAAAGGTAAGCATGCTGGCAACAGATGCTGATGGAGCAGAGTCAAGCTACAGTATAATAGTATGATGACACAATGAGAAACCACTAAACTGGAAAAAAAAACACTGGGCAGCGTCTACTGTGTCGCTATGGCAGGAGAACAAATGCAAAACTAGCAGCTGAAGGACAAAGCAGGCCCTAATAAAAGCAAAGACAGCGTCACAAACAGAAAATGAATACTTACCATGTTTGTAACCTAAATGCAAAGAAACAGGGTTTTGTTGTAAATTCATTTATTGTGAGTAATTCAACATTTATTAATAAAACTGTTGTTTAAGTCTTGCATGACAAAGTATGTTACCTACAAACATCAGTAAAACAACACCTTCATTTGTGAATGTCAAGCCTTCTTGACACAGCACAACACAAAATGTGCAATGATCACTTAATAACAAAGGATTATTACACATTATCCTTGGTCTCTGTGGTGAATGTCTTGCTCTCTATACTTTTCACAATCTGATCAGTAGTCATCACTTGAGACAAAACAACAGAACAATAACGCAACGACTGTAATTTCACAAAAATGCCATAGACGAGACCAGAAACAGCAGGTTTTCATTGACGCCCCCCTGAAATGAAGGGCACACTTGTATTTCTCTTTACCCCAACACTCTAATTTGCTTTAAATGAGAAAAGACAGGGATTCATACAAAAGCTGTCTGCTGTTCTTCAGACAGCCGCCTGTGCCCTTGAAAGACCAGGCAAAGCTGCCTGTCTGAGTCTTGCTGTCTCTCAACATGCACACACACACACACGCACACACACACACACACACACACACAGGGTCATTAATTTGTGTTGGAGCAAATGGGGAAAGTCAACACATGAAGTCGTCTCCCCATGAAAAGAAGAAAATGGCACATGGGTGGGGAGTCCTTTGATACACAAGCATTACTTCATGAGATACTTTAAATTACAGGTCAATATTATTCAAGATGGCTTCTTTCACAATGCCTTTGTCCCATTTTTATCTGCCATTGTGAAAAGCTTTCCACAGTGATTTTAACAGAGTTCATTATTGTTTAACAATTGACAAGAACGCTTTGAAATGACGACATCTGAACCGGGAGGAAGGAAAGCGGCTGACGGCCACGGCACTGCGAGGAGGAAGGAGGAGGAATAAGAAAGCAGAGCAGAGCAAGAGTCAGCCATCAGACCGATATCCTTGGACCTGCAGCTCTCGGCCAATCACCAGCAGCCAATGCCAGCACGCTTCCCGACATCTGCACACTTTGATTGTGATTTTAC